TGCGTTAACAATAAATCCCGTAACTTGACGCAATAATATGTTCATTACTTATTAAAAATGTTTATTGGATTGATGCTATGCAAGCACTCTCTTGGCATACACAACAACAATACTACTGCCAAGACCATGTCTGCAAGATTGGTATTTTCAGAATGAAAGCATGAAACAGAAAAGAAATTGCATCATCAAGCATTCATCAAAAGTATAAGACTGCAATGGCACAAGCATGAAAGATCAAAGATTTATTTATTCTTTATTATTATTGATTTTTATTTATTCCACATCCCCGTTCTGGAGATGGGCAGTCAACAAGGGAGAGGAAAGACCAGTTCCCACAGCACAAATCTAGACAACCTTGGGCGGAAGGCACATAGGTAAAACCCCTCCCCAGTGACTGATCCGGGAAGGGATCACTCATCCTGGCCATTGTTATGGCCAGGAGCATCAGCAGAAGAAGTCTCCCCTTTTGGATCACCAATAGAAGCATCACTTTCCCCACCAGAGACTGCTGCTGGAGCAGCAGAGCCAACCAACAGTTCCTTCTTACGCCCCACTTTCTCAAGCAGCTCGTCTGCTATTGATGTCACCATCGTCAGCTCCTCAATGCTGAGCTCATCAAGTGGTCTAGTCAACAAATTCATCCTTCTCTGGTCCTCCTCCAGCATCTCCTTGAGCTTGTCATTCCGTTTTTGTGCAGCTTCCAATTCTTCCAGCAGAGCGGAGCATTTCTTGGTAAGCTCCTCTAGAGTAGCCTCATCATCATCTTGGGCATGCTGACTTGAATCAGAATCAGGCTTCCCAGAGTTCACAAGTCTGTTCAGAACTGTGTCAACAGAAGGATGCCCAAAAGAGAAGGCCTTACCCTCTGGAGAGAAGATAACAAGCGCAGTCTCAACAGCACATAAGGTAGAGAGCTCACTAGCCTCCTTGAAGAGTTCAGAACAACGTTTGGAGAATGCAACCTCCGGAGCATCAGCAGAGCGTGGAATCCTCCTGATTTGCATCCTTCTGCGACCTGCACCCGATGTTCCTGCCATAGATAAACAACTAAATGGAAACAGAAAAGCTATTCTTGATAATGGACTGAGAAATTTAGGGGAGAAACACAGTTATTTATAGGGCCGTGATGCCTTTGCTGACGCTCAAAACCGGCCACGTCTACTCTCCTGATTGGTCATTCTCATTTCTTGCCATATATGTCTGCCAGCAATGAAAAATGACGAAAGCATCGTTTTTTTTGTACCATATTAAAATTTCAATTTATAAAATAACCCACATATGGCATCCTTAAACAGAATAGACTCTTATTCATATCCCTACCATAGTAGTCTGCGCAAAAAATGGTAGTAAGCTTACCAAAGTTATCAAATGTAAGAATCCTGAAAAAATTCAGCAGCCCAAGGAAAATAGAACATAGATATACAAAGATATCTTGGGCAGCTTGGACTACCCAAGACTACAAAAAACTAACCATTGATGAAGGCCGTGAACATGGGGTCGTCCTCCACCCATCAATGGCTGCTTTTTTGCAGTCCAGCATATATATTTCAATGTTCCACAAAGAGATTATCAGACTAACCTAACATACCATAAGCATAAAAGTTCATACATTGGCATTGGAATGCTACATCATTTTGTTTTAATCAACCAGGCTTTAGAATTTCCACAATAGAAGCAGTTTTCGATAAATATGGTTGACAATTTGTAAGATACAATTAGCACAGGGGATTGATAATAATTTTTGTTCTCCAATAATGAAATTGTTATCAATAGTTAACGTTCTAAATTTAGCCAAGTTGCAGTCAGATTATGATAATGTGAATGCCAAGGCAGTTTCTTTGTCAACTAAGCAAAAGCATATGCATCAACCCAAAACTTGCGTTCATAAGAAACTAATAAATTATCAAGTAAATTAATGTACTTATACTTTCCTTTGTTATGAAATTTTCCTCATATGGAGGACTGTACATATAACTTAAAACACTATGGTACCAAAAAAAATTCCAACTGGAACCGTGTTCTCATAATCAGGCCATATTTAGCCATTACAACACTTGTGCACAACTTTTCTAAAGCAAAAACAAGGTATTCACCTACAATAATCGCAAGATGAATAATTAACTGAATTTTGATTAGTCCTTAGTAAAAAGATAATAGCAACAGCAAAAATATTTAACAGAAATGCACTTGCTTTACCTTTGTCAAATTCTTGCAAATGTGAAGAGTTTTCAATTTTTATTTTTCAAGATATCTAATGCTTCCACTCATGAATCCAACTCCATGACAACTTATTTCAGTCAGGAAAAGAAAAATGACTTAAGGTTCTCATAGACAGAATAAATTCAAATCAAGAGCAAATATTTCAGCAAGCATTGGCATTGGCTCTAAAGAGTAACTATTACAGATCTAGATTTGAATTATTTTTTCCCAAAAGCCTAGACACCAATCAACAAATGAACATTTTCTGCTGGAGACTCTGTGAGTCAAATTATCGACATTGACCACTATCATTGAATTGAGGCTAAATCTATAATAAGGATGGTTTTTTCGTTTTTCTTTCTTCCACATAAAAATATTTCAAGGCCAAAAATTATTTATTCCTAAAGACAAAGTTGAAACACCAAAAGCCCCATTTGTTTAACATATCCTTAATATTATGATCATAATCTAAAGAATTTTATCTACACAAAATATTACATTATCCTCATTGCTTTTCCATTTATATTGTAATTGTTAAATTGATTTGGATTATTGGATGTGAATGCAAAACAAGAACACAGTGATAACATTTTGCAATGGATGTGCAGTAAAAGGGGAGAAGTCTTCCAAAACAAGCTAACTCTCAAGAACCGTACATAGTTTTATATTTTTTTACCACTTCATTAAACACTCAAATCCAGATGCCAAGCAGTACTGCAGTATATAGACAATGTTAACTTGAGTAGGATTTATTTACGACTAAGAGATAGAATAAAAGCAACTTTGATCTTCATTAAGACTTTGCATTTATTGCTAACCTATTTGTACCATAATTGAGAGAATAACATCTTAGCATTTCTAATGTTACTATCACACTTAATGTAAAAAGTACAAGAATTTTAACAATCAACAATCATATAGGTATAACGTAACTATTTTCCCAACATTTTCATAATCCTTGGTGTAACCTCTACACATCCTATACTTTCTTTTTCTGTTTGTGAAGTTTGGCCCCTGACTCCTTGACTCTGTGTGTCTGTGTCAAGAAACAATCTGATGTTCCAAACTGGACCTTAACAATAAACAATAAGGTGGCTACCAAGTACAGACAGATTAGGAAACAAGGTATGCAAAAACACTTTACATTACGTCATGTCATCATTAAACTATGATTATTCAGTTAATACAACCGAAGTGCTCAAGGTTCAAATTAAGAATGAACAGAGTAAATGACTATTATAGTATTACCTCTTCAGGCAACAGGCATATACAAGACGGCTTTATAAATGCAAATCATACTTCTCTGTTTACTAAATCTGGATTCCGGAATGATTTTACACAATGGATTTCTTTCTTATTTTCCAATTAAAACCTCATTCACACTGTTTGTTCAATTGATGAGTAATTATCAAAGGAAACGAATCTCAATCATTTACCACATCCTCTATAAAGAAATTCAATCACTTCAGTATCTTCTAACAGTATCAACTTTCAGCAATGAAGAAAATGAGACCAATATCTGAAATTGAATTTCATTTACTTCTCCAAACATTAGTAAAGAAAACTGACTATCAGTAGCGAAGCAGATTAGTTCCTGTAGACATCAATTTCTTATTCGCTCGACTAAATCGAACCTCCTATCTCCGACCAAAAAATTATGAAAAAAAATTAGCTTTCATTAACGGAATCAAGCTAGATTGACATGAAAAGGGAAGCGGGGATCAATATCAAAATGAATATTAAGAGACAGAAAAGTTGAAATCGAATGCGAACAGAGAGAGCGCTTACATGAAATCTGGAATTGGAAGGAGGGCACTGTGGAGTCGTGTCGATCGGTGCATCCTCCGGGAAACTAACGTCGAGAGTCATTGTCCACCGGCGCTAGACTGAGCCTCCTGAGGTCGGCGGAGTCGTCGAGACTCGAGGAAGTTGGAGAAAGGAAACAGAAGATTAAGTCTGGGCCTCGTTACGTCCCGTTTGAAGTTCAACGAGGCCCAACAGGTCTGAAGAATCAAGCCCAATAATGATGTAATAATCCACTTAAAAATAGAAAATTACCTTTTTCTTCTTCTTCTTTTTTATTTTTTATTTTATTTTAAAGAATAAATCACCTCTGAATTTCGATCTTCAATTTTCTTTTCTTTCTTTTTCTGCAGAGACCTTACGAATTCACTTTATTGTAATAAGTAATCCGTAAGGACCAAACAGTGCCCGTGCCGTCGCACGGTAACATGCAATAAATTAATTTACATTTTTAATTTTTATAAATTTTATTTTTAATATAAGATATTGTTTATTTTTAAAAATTGAATATAAATTAAAAGTTAATGTAAAATATATTTGGGTAATTTTTTTTAATATAAATTAATGTTTTGTAATTAAAAAATTATAAAAAATTTTCTTTTATACTTATACTTATTTTTACACATTAATTTAGTGTACTACTTTCCTTTTTATACGAATAAAAGGGCTTTTGTAATATCAAAAATGAAGAAAAAAAATTTATAATATGTTTGGGTGGAGGTAAATATAGATGTAACATCTTGAATCCGATATTAATGGAGACTTGTAAGTAAACTTGATATATAATTATGAAAACTAACCACTATTAGTAACTTAAGTTTTAATTTTTGAGGGTCCATGAACTTTACTTCAAAGAACTCTTAGGTCAATTGTAGATTTCGACTTAGGTCGTTTTAGAAAGGGAGGGAAGATTTTTTTATCAATTAAATTGTAATGTTTTTTAAATATTACAATTTGATTTGTCAAAATTTTTTCCCTTCCATACTAATATCTTAAAAAAGAAGAAGTTATTACTTTTTTTTTCTTCGTGTTCTTTTTGAGAAAAAAATGATAAAATTATATTAGTACAAAAATAGAGAATTCATTAGGGTTGTTTTCGAAAGTAAACTTCTAGTACATAAGTGAGATAAAATGCAATCATAAGAAATGAACATTTATTAAAAATAACAAAAGTTAAAAAGGTGATATTCTCATCTTGAGAAATTGGTTAGTACACATATGGCTATCACTATTGACATGTTGCAATATTGAGTTAAAACAAAATTCATCGTGAGTTCTCTACAATTCAAAATGTTAGAGATATTGGCAAACAATAATTGAATGGTATAAAAAGAGCTAGACCCAATGTTAATTTTAGAAAATCCCTTAATAACAATAAACTTGGAGGTTATTCTCTATGTTTTAAAGTTTTAACACTTATTCTATTAATAATACCTATATTCATGACAAATATCATAATCTAATTGTCATTATGATCTTTGAAGATCCCTCCTTTGCCAATAGATTTGAGAAAGGTAGCCCCCAATATTACTGTTCAATAAAATATAGATGAGGTTTATACTAGTAAAATATACAAAGTTAATTATTAGATAAATCAGATTTAATAAGAAAAATTGACTAAAATTTACTAGTTTTATAAATAATAATAGAAAGTCACTTAGAATCTTAAAATAAAAATTCTTATAAAACTTGTCATTTTTTTGTTATTAAATTTCCCAAATAATAAATAAAAACAAAGCAATCCAAGGAATTTTGACATACGAGAATCATCCATGCATTTACTTCTTGTTTGATTTAAGAGAGACAAAATCCCTTCTGCTTATTTGGTTAGATTAAAACGTAAAATAATAATAATGTAATAATAATAAAAAGGAAGGAAAAACCCCTCTCTTCCCTTCATTTCCCTCCAATTTTTTATTATTCAAATAGAGAAGTTTTTCTTCCTTTCCTCTCCCTTGAATGATAAATTAAGTAAACACATTGAAATTTGTTAAAGTATTGGTTGAACCCAATTTACAATAATTTATAAAAAAAATTATTGTATTGTTAAGGATATATTAAATGGAGTCCCCATGAGAGGAAAGGGAAATTGCCATATTTAAATAGTATATTTGGTTTGAAGAAAATAGATGAAAGAAAACAAATGAGATTTTTTTCTTTTAGGCAACTCTCTTCCTATGAAATGAGAGGCAACCCCTATTTCATTCTTTTACATGTCGTGTTATTTGAACTTTGAAACTCTTACTTCCATTGGAAAAAAATTACTACTGAGTTATATAGGTCATTGGCAAAAAAAATGTGTTTTATAACCAATCCAATTATAATATTTTTAATTAGGAAAATGATGTGTGCACACTCGGATCCAACACCCGAGTGTGCACACATCATATAAAAAAAATGCCCATCACCCAGTCCATCTTTTTTTTTATGTGGGGGGTGCACACCCGAGTGTTGGATCCAGGTGTGCACCAATCATGGTCCTTTTAATTATTACAATTTAATTGGTTGACAAATCCATCACTTCTCTTCCTTCAAACCAAACACACACTTATGAGAGATTTTGGTAAAAATCCTTCTTAAACCCTCAACTTACCCTAAAATAGTATTTAACCCTCTAAACTAAAAATGAAGTAGATAATCTCTCCGACTCTACTAACAATGCAGATAAACCCTTCCCATAAACGGGTCAAATAGTATTTTATGTTAAATATAACCTTGAAAGCATAGCACCCATGAATTAGAAGAGCTTATTTGAAACATAAAATTCTAAAAAAAAAATTGGGCTTAAAAATAATAAATACTTAATTTAAAAAGTAGTATAATAAAAAAATCAGTAATTTTTCTTTTATTATTGTGACTAAAATGTTTTAATGTACATTTTTCTCATATAATTTTACCCAAATAATAGGTCTCTTTTATCAATTTTTGATTTAAAAAAATTTAAATTAACAAAAAGTAACAGTAAATATACAGTAAGGGTATGGTAGTTAAGTGACATTAATTAAGTTTTTGGATTTGATTTTGTTTTTTTATTTTTTATTTTTTGCCATAATTTTGGACTTTGACATTAATTGATCTCATTAAAGAACAACTTAAAAAATACTCCATTGTAAAACAAATTACCAAATAAAGAAAGTTTTGTAATATGTCAAAAGTACCTTAAATAAAAGATTATATAAAAATTTAGTACATAACATGATTTGTCTTTGTTAGTTTCTCTCTTAAAATATAGATAGATTTAGAATAAATTTCTAATGCAACATGACTAAATAGTTGAGTCAAACAAAAAAAATACTAAATACAAGATGAAGAGCATCAAGTCTAATTCAAATCTAAAATAAGTACAATTTTATGAAATGATATTAATAAAACTTGAATGATATAACATAAAAGGAGTTAGGTTATTGTTATATTTTAAATAGTTAATACCATATCATTTTAATATAATTGTCTATTATATTCTTACATTACTTTTTTTTTAATTCTACATTTTTTATTTCTTAATAAATTAAAAATATAATATTTAATTAAAATAAAAAAGTGTGGCATTAATAATTGAAGGCCCAATAATAACATTACCTCATAAAGGGGAGAAAAGAGAATTTTTTTATGCTCAACTTTGTATGTATTTAAATTTAAGTCCTTTTTGTTGACATTATTGTTTTTTCATACTTAACTCCCTCTACCTGAATAGCTTTACTATTGTTAAAAAAATAAAGCTTCATACTTTAATTTTACAAATATTATATAGTCACTATTTAAATTTTGTAAAATGGTATTAATAAAATTTTAAAAAAATAATACAAAAAAGTGAGGCTATTGTCACACCCTAAATAGTTAATATCATATTATTTTAATATAATTATCTATTTTACCCTTACATTATGTTTTTTCTCAAAATTCTACATTTTTTTTT